TGAACTTCCTTAAGAGAACTGAAATATAAAAAAAAAAAAAAAAAAAAAAAAAAAGTTGTGTTTTCTAACTGGGAGGAAGCACTAGTTACTTTGATTCTTTTGGTAAACGTAGCAATATTCCACATTTTTCCTTCACAGCAACACCTCGCTACCTGCCACTTCCCGGGTCACTATTTTGGGGCTCCAGGGCTGATGAATTAGTACCCTGCTCCGCTAACTAAAGTGAGGAGATGCCCGTTTTCCCATTCTTCCTGCTGAGGGGAGCATGGTGAGCGGTGCACACCCAGAAAGCCAAGATCCCTGGGAAGAGCCATTCGGGAGAGCGGCTCCAGCAGAACCACCGCAGCCGGGGGGAAGGAGCCCGCGCTGCCGGCAGCAGCGGGACAAGGTTGAGCCACGTTGAGGGAGCTGCTCCTCACACACCTCACACCTGGAAGCAGTCGTCCCTGCAGCCACCAAAATCCCAGGGAAAACAACCAACCAGAGCTGGAAAACACCTCGTTCTCCAGCTKGTTGTGGTGCTCTCCACCTTATGCGCTGTGTATGCTGTGCTGGTGTATTTAAACTGTGTATTAAACTTAAGTCCCTGCATGTGTCTCTCCTTGAATACATTAGATCCTAAGAACACATTAATTCTTACAGGGAAAATTGTTTTGCTGTCCCAGCTACTGCAAAGTGCTGCTATTTTGAGGGATGCATCCTCAATGGATAACAGGTTATGTCCACACCAGGATGAAGCCAGGAATACAAAAAAGAAATACTTCCAAAAAGGTACCATCAATGGCTATGCTAAGGTACAAGGCATTTTTCTCTCATGTTTCAAGTTTTATGTGACATAAGCACCATCTTGAAGAAGTCCCAGTCTGAAGAGAAAAATTCTCTGCCTTAGAGAAGCTAGATGAGAATCCTCTTGTGAAGAAAAATAAACATAAAATAACGTATTTGCAGCTGTGGCTTGCACAGACTAAGGTAACAGCGCCAGCTTTCAGGGCGAAGGAGCAGGCCCTTGCCAGCTCCTGCAAGCCACGCAGCTCTGCAACCAGAAGAACCGRGTCTCTCAAACCTAGGCAGCAAGGGCAGGTAGCTAAGACCCCCTTTTTCCATTACTCACCTTATTCTACTTACACTCATCACGTAATCTTGCTGTGGTGCTTGTGCTTCTCTTGGCTTTGCCCTGGGTTTCCTGTGAGACAACCGAACAAGTGCAGGTCACAGAGGCACAGCACCTGCTTTTGGCCTTTATGCTTTAGGCCTCCCTTCCTTATGCAGGTTCTGGAGTGAGGAAGGAGACTACTATCATCATTTTGCCAGAATTTATTTTACCACATTTATAATTCCCTAAACATATCTAGTCCCAGCTGTTTTTGTTTTCTTTTCCTTTCTACTACCATGTTGTTTACAACTAATCTGAATCATTTATAGCAACAGAAAAATCTTCAGTGTTTCTCTAATCTTTCAGTAGTCCTTTTTTTTTTTTTTTTTTTTTTTTTTTTTTGGGTGTTTTTGGAGCTTTAGGGCTTATTT